ATCCCACATTGGTTAGCATCAAGCGTGCAGCACCGTCAAAGTGCTTGAAGCAATGGTAATACAAAGATAGATCAGGCCCATCCTCTCATCGAAATGCTCACAACGACATCCGAAACGCACATCCTTTTTCTTCCACCCACAAAAATGAAATATCGGCGTAGTTTCAGCGATGTTTTTAGCGCGCCTACGACAGACTTCCAATTTAAAGGGCGCCGCTTTGGGTTACGGTACCGTGGCGGTAATACTGAAGTTAGCTTCTTGTCTTGGCATCAGTGTGGCTGGTGGCCGCATTCGTGGAAAAGCATCCTGGGCCTTTGCCGATTCCTACCGCCTGCTCGCTCAGTAAAGATGTCAATCTCCCCTACCGGAACAGGAATTGCACACATCAAATTCCTCAACTTTACTTTGAAGTCGCCTGGACAACTACTTCCGTCTCCTTCTTTTTTGCGTGAGTTTCATCGACTCTGTTGGTTCTATAATTCTATATGAATAAAACGGGGGAATCCATATATTGAGGCAATGTAGACTTCAATAGAAAAACTCACGGGCACAACCCAATACACAAGCCCAAGGAGGTCTAAAAATTTTTTTTGGCCGAAAGATTGTTTACAGGGGTAATCGATGGCCCCGATCATGATTTTGACACTTATTTTCGGCGCCGACGTAATTTGGCGCCTGGGTAGCGCTACACGTCCCTTATATGTGTGTACCTAACGCATTCATTGGAAGAAACGTGTGGCTGTTTAGCGTTAAATGGCACCATAGCTACGAGTTTTCTATAGATAAGACAATGCCCGAATTACGAATATGAGCTCCATATTCGTAATTGTCTAACCTATAGAAAACAACTTCCAACTGCGGTCTCAATGGTAGGTGAACCTTGAAATAATTGAACACCATGGATTCATGGAGTATTTGATCTAATGCCCGCAAATGGCAGTTATCAGACTTATATCCATGCGCGGACATTTAGAACGGAAGGGAAGCGAAGCTGAAAGATGCAAAACACCGCGCTCTGCGGGACTCGAACCATCCAATCCTACTCTCACTGTCCGATTTAGAGTCCTTCACGCGATAGCGTGGCCACTAGGCCATCCATTCGTTGGCACGGGAGACGTGCAACAAAATCGTCCGGGGCAGAACCCGCAGCACGCGGCGCAGCAGCTCACGGAAGGTGCATTTGCTAGCCGATAGCTTTGCGATTGGAGCAATTGATCTACTACAGCGTACATCCGCAACGTTTACCAGATTCCATCAATAATTGAAAATCTAACGATGTTTCTCTTGATAGTACACAATTGTTTGGCGGATCCATAGACGCAACTTCAGGAAATAAACAATACAAAAGAAAACAAATAAGGCAGTTATTCTCCCTACGTTTTTGTGATTCACATGATTCGCCAGACGTCAGCGTCAACTTGATCCTGGGTGATATCAATCTTTACCGTCCCTTCAATATCCCTATTCAAACGGCCAGACGCATGATTTGTCTTCTCGCCGCAAGGATGTCGCAGACCACGCCCACCAGCTGCACCGGACGATTCTGTTGCTACACACTCCGTTGCTAGAGTATTGCGCTGCCATCGTTGAAGAAACCATTCCAAGGAGCCGTTCACTCTTGATTACGTGCCACAGGTAAGACTCCATACTCTGACTACTTTTCTCTTCGATTCCAATAGTATCTTCGGGGACCCTCCACTCAGCAACTGGTCAAAGTTTTGAGCGGTTCACAGCTCGCTCCTATTTCGGCATTCCAGGTGCCGCTTAGCGACAATGATGCCCACTTTTGTGGTTCCATAAGTGTAAGGCAGCGTTCACATTTGTAGCGCTACAGCGTCGCGCTACTGCGTCGCGCTACAGCGTCGCGCTACAGCGTCGCGCTACAGCGTCGCGCTACAGCGTAGCGCTACAGCGTCGCGCTACAGCGTCGCGCTAACATCGTAGCGTGCGCGCTATCAAGGCGTAGCGCTAAAAGCGTGCTTCGCAACGTACGTTGGCAATTTCAACGTTAGAGATTCACAGTTGCTACAGAGAAAAGGGGAAGGTGCTGGAGTTCTTGAGAAATTCACGAAAGTGAGACGATAGCAGCTGTAGCTATCTACGCCCATCCTTGACATTTACTGCCTACTCCATTAGTCACTATTTCTCTGGTACTGCTTTTAGCGTAACAGTGTCCTTCTGTCCTATTAAGAGCATTTTCTGCAAAAAACACCCAAAGAGTACTCGCGCCACCTAAAAACATCATGGCTTGCCATCTGTACGTGGATGCCAAAAACTATTTCGTCATCGGAGTCAACGTGAGGCACCACTGCAAGGCATCAAGCAAAGCCATCAAACATCAATAGCAACTCTGAAACCAAATAATTAAAGTCAAAAACGATAAATAAAACCAATTATGACAGTCCTCTGTATCAGAAACTACATTAAAAAGTGATAAGGTAGACAACAGGAGCTCACTATCAGATAAATATGAGAAACAGAGAAGACGGTTTGAATACAGAAAGAATGAATACAGAATCCAATGCCGCTTATGGATTATGGAGCGAAATCTGCTTTTCGAATTTGCCCCCAATCTCTGCCTGGATCACACAGGAAAAAGATTCATGCCGGTTTTCGAGGCATTACCCAACAAAGCTTTGACAGTTTCTTGTACTTTTTTGGCCCAGGAGCGTAAAATGCTCTTATCTAAATCTTCTGTTTCTATCTTAGCTCCCTCTGGCTTATTGTGTACTCTTATCTTGGCACTTCTATCTCTGCTCTCAGCTCTTCTGATCTCCTGGCTACTGTTTCTCTGGCTATTTTATTCTCGTGTAGATCTGCTGATTGCTCGCAGTCGTTCTAGGGCTGTGTGTAATCTAATCTACTGACTTTTCTCTCCCTATCTTTAGGGCTCTCTGCTCTTCTTGCTTTGCGTTCTGACCTGTATCTTAATCTTTCTTCTCTCTCTCTTGACACCTTCTAGTGTACTGCTTCTTATCTCCTTATCTGATCTTCTGTATCTAGCTTTCTCCTCTCTCTTCTGGTGTTGCTGTGAATGCTGTGGTTCCTCTGGCTCTTTTTCGTATCTACACGTTTCTTATCTACTGTGGAAGCTCGCTTGGATCAAGCTTTTAAATCCTGGTTCCCTCTTGGTTACTTGTCTCTTCTTCTTGTCTCTCTTGTGTCTATATCTACTGTCCCCCTCCTATCTTAGTCTTGGCTTCTATCTCATCTAGGTTTCTCTTTCTGCTTGCTTGCTGATTCTCTTCTTCTGTGGTATGCTGCTTTTGTTATCTGCTCTCCTTCTCGTCATACACGCCACAACAGAGACGCGAACACTGTCTGGTTACCAATGCGTTAACACAAGGCGAACAAGAAGTTCCTTTATGGTTCTTCTGTCTCCGGTAAAAAAAAACATGCGTGCGTGTTTTTAGGTGGCGCGAGTACTCTTTGGGTGTTTTTTGCAGAAAATGCTCTTAATAGGACAGAAGGACACTGTTACGCTAAAAGCAGTACCAGAAAAATAGTGACTAATGGAGTAACTGTCAAGGATGGTCAGATAGTTACAGCTGTATCAGTCTCACCTTTCCGTGAATTTCTCAAGAAAACTCCATAAACTTCCCACTTTTCTCTGTAAGCAACTCTAATCATCCTAACATTGGAAATTGCAGTGCGTTGTGAAGCGACGCTGTAGCGCTACGCTGTAGCGCGACGCTGTAGCGCGACGCTGTAGCGCGACGCTGTAGCGCTACAAGTGTGAACGCTGCCTAAGGCACTACAAAATGCAAAGAAACCATGTCGTAAAAGCGGGGCACGCCTGAGCGACCTCCCTTATAAGCTTCAACGTAAGCCTAATCTATGCTGCTTTTAGCACGTTAGTTGGGTACTGAGCAGTTCTATCAACTTTCTGTTAATCAACTAGTTGAACTCATTTCAAGTGATAAGCTCAACATCCGATCAGAAGGAGCAGGTGTGGATATTAATCTAGCCATAAGAAAATGAGATCGTATTCCTGTTTTACCCCATTCGGCCCTCTTTTATTTGCTTGAATCATCGATTCTTCTAGGTTTTCGAAGCTGTGCTTCAGTGGGTTAGATTCGATCTATCAGTACGGAAGCAGTTCCTTCCACAAGTAGGTTTACGTTCTCCTACAATGTTTTCGAAGTTTTGTCCACTGGTTTTGCAGTTGTTGGAGCACGTACGACTCCCACTTTGTTCCCCCAAGTTCCTCGCCGAAACAGTCAGTGAAGACGCGTTAGTGAAGGCGGACGAGGCCTGCCGAGATCTTCTCGATGAAGCAAAGGTTATTGTAGTTCTACCGCAAAATAGAAGAACAAAATGAGGTCGAAAAGCCAGCTTTCCCAGAATAAAGGAGCATTGAAGTTTTTCTCAGCGACTCCCACGACGGTAGATAACACGATAGATCATCCACGGCACTTCGGAGGGAAAGCTCATAAATCCGGTCCGTTTACTGCCTTGATTCTCCATTCTTCGGATTTCCAATTGTGTCTTGAGACAGATATGACCCGTAAATATGCTTTTCTAGGGGCACATTCTATTATCAGAAACCACGAATTGATCTACTCAACCTAGAGCACATCATTGGTTGAAGATTTTGGTGGAATCCGTACACCCTCCCCCCTTTGTTACATCACCTGATTCGATAGAGCTGATGAGGGGGAGGGGTACAGCACATGTGAAGCTGGTAAAATCGCGAGGAGAATACGAACGCCTTACCACCTTCTTAGTTTTTCCCAACTTCCTAGTACTTTCCCGTATTTTTCCGAAACTCGGAAAATTTTCCTGTCGAGCGGGAAGGGGGAGGGGCGGGCAAGGGAAGAACGGAGGGTATATTGTGCGCTTGGTGCGGAACGCAAAACAAAAAAAACCAGGAAAAACTCCCTCCCCCCCCCACCCCGCAATTTTCTCTCCGAACGCAAGAACTACATACTTCCTTCCCTCCTGTTAGCGTCCGTCAAACAAGTAGAGCAGCTTTCAAAAAATTTCTCAGACTAAGCAAGACGCCTCCCCTCCCTCTAGTGACCAGATACGACCCTCTATTCGAGAAAACTCCAATGATAATTGCTTCGATTTAACTACTAGACACCAAGCGGACCAACCTATCGTACTAGAAAGAGTCCATCATTCCGTCTATCAGGACATCCGCACACTGGAAACGAGGTAGGCGGAAAATGGTGAAGATACGAGGCTCTTTCACCACATACCAAGTAAGGTACGTAAGGTTCCTCTTGAGGAGAAGCAGGAGACGCATAAGTTGGTCGCGTCTCACGAGTAAATTGCGCCACCACCGTGAATGTCGGAACTCGTTGATAGTTAAAAATAATCTAAACATGGTGTTGTCAGTGACGATTCACTCACTACTGAGTAGCAGTAGGCTATAGCAGAAGCCATCGGTGACCCGCAAAAGATCAAAAATTGGATGTAGAGGGGGGCACAAAAGACATTTATCTCCCTTGACTCTCAAGGCGATATTAAATTCTGATTGAACATTTTCACCGTCAAATTCAACAGCATATTGAACACATCACGAAACTTC